AGGAAAAGCTTTCAGTTTTACGCCATTCAGTAAAATATAAGCTATGGGTTTGTTCTAGGTAGCTTTGATCAGTTTAAGAAATGTGCCACCTATGCCTGTACTCCTCAGTGTTCTAATTAGAAAAGGATACTGGATTTTCTTGAATACTTTTTCTGCATCTATTGAGAGGATCATATGGTCTTTGTTTTTGCTTCTATTATGATGAATAACATTTATGGACTTGTGTATGTTAAAGCAGCCTTGCATCCCTGGGATGAAACCTACTTGACCATGTTGTATGACTTTTTGATGATAAGCTGTAATTTATTGGCTAGGTTTTTGTTGAGAATTTCTGAGTCTATATTCATTAGTAAAATTGGTCTGAAATTCCCCTTTTTATTTGGGTCTTTTCCTGGTTTTGGTATCAGGGTGATGTTTGCTTCATAGAACGTGTCGAGGAAGATTTCTTCCTCCTCAATTTTTTTGGAATAATTTCTGCAGTACAGGAATAAGCTCTTCCTTGAAGGTTTGAGACTTGGTCACAGCCAGAGATGGTTGTGCTGAGTCCAGAGGTGAGCTGCAGTTTAAAAAAAAAAAAAAAAAAAAGAATCTGAAAAAGAATTCTGGTGTGAAGCCATCTGGACCAGGGTATTTTTTTGTTGGAAGATTTTTTATTGTTTCTTTTATCTCAGTGCTTGAAATTGGTCCATTCAGGAGCTCTGTTTCTTCCTGGCTAAGTCTAGTGCGAGGGTGTGTTTCCAAATATTGATCCATTTTCTTCACATTGTCAAATTTCTGGACATAGAGTTTCTGGTAGTATTCAGAAATGATCTCTTGTATCTCTGTGGCATCAATCGTTATTCCCCTTTATCATTTCTGATTGAGGTTACTAGAGATTTTACTTTTCTATTTCTAGTTAGTCTGGCCAAAAGTTTATCTATTTTATTTATTTTTCAAAAAACTAACTCCTTGTTTCATTAATTTTTCTGAATGATTATTTTGTTTTCAATTTCATTGATCTCTGATTTAATTTTGGATATTTATTTTCTTCTGCTGGGTTTAGGCTTAGATTGTTTTCTTTTTCCAATTCCATAAGATGGCTTGTGAATTTGTTGATGCGCTCTCTTTCTGTTTTTTGAATGTAGGCATCTAAAACAATAAATTTTCCTCTCAAAACTGTTTTTGCTGTATGCCACGGGTTTTGGTAGCTTGTGTCTTCGTTGTTGTTATGCTCAAGGAAGTTAATGATTTCCTCTTTTTATTTCTTCCCGCACCCAACTGTCATTCAACAGAAGGTTGTTTAATTTCTATCCCTTTGTGTGGGGTTCAATGTTTTCACTGGAGTTGAATTCCACCTTTAGTGCCTTGTGGTCTGAGAATATACAAGGTAAAATTTTAATTCTTGGCTTGGTGCCTGTGGCTCAAGTGGCTAAGGCACCAGCCATATAAACCCGGACCCACCAAACAACAATGACGGCTGCAACCAAAAAATAGCCAGGTGTTGTGGTGGGCGCCTGTGGTCCCAGCTACTTGGGAGGCTGAGGCAGGAGACTCGCTTAAGCCCAGGAGTTGGAGGTTGCTGTGAGCTGTGATGCCACGGCACTCTACCCAGAGGGGCAGCTTGAGGCTCTGTCTCAAAAAAATAAATTTTTAAAAATTCTTTTGATTTTGTTAAGGTTTGTTTTGTGTCCTAGGATATGATCAATTTTAGAGAATGTTTCATGGGGTGATGAGAAGAATGTATATTCTTTATCTTTGGGATGCAGTGTTCTATATGCGTCTATCAAGCACAGTTGTTCTAGGGTCTAATTTAAGTCCCTTATATCTTTGTTTAATTTCTGTTTAGAGAATCTTTCCAGCTCTGTAAGAGGAGTGTTAACTCTTCTGTTAATATAGTGTTATAGGATATCATATTGCTCAGACTGAGTAAGGTCTGTTTTAAGAATCTGAGAGCAGGGCAGTGTGGCCCGAGTGAGAGCAGGAGCTGTAGTTGGGGCTGGGGCTGCAGACTTGGTCACAGCCAGAGATGGTTGTGCTGAGTCCGGAGGTGAGCTGCAGCTAGTTAAAAAAAAAAAAAAAAAAAAAAAAGAATCTGAAAGCATTTAAGTTGGGTGCATAAATATTTAGAATTGAAATGTCTTCTTGTTGTATTTTTCCCTTGACCAATATAAAGTTACCATCTTTGTCTTTTTTGACTTTAGTTGCTTTTAATCTACATGTATCTGAAAATAAGATTGTAACTTCTCTTTTCTTCTGAATTCCATTTGCCCGAAAAATTGTCTTCCAACCCTTAACTTAGAGTTTTAATTTGTCTTTGGAAGCTAGGTGTGTTTCCTGCAGACAGCAAATGGATTGCTTGTGTTTTTTAATCCAATCAGCCAATCTATGCCTCTACAGTGGGGAATTCAAGCCATTGACATTTATTGAGATAATTGATAAGTGTGGTAGTGTTCTATTCATCTTATTTTGTGAGAGTCCATTGCTTAGTTTTATCTTTTGCATCAGTGTGGAAGTTAGGCTCTGTCTTTTAATTTCTGAGTTCTTACTTTGCTGTTGATCCATTGTAATGGTCAGTGTATAGAATAGGTTGAAGTATTTCCTGTAGAGCTGGTCTTGTTGTGGCAAATTTCCTCAATGGTTGCATATCAGTAAATGATTTGATTTATCTGTCAATTTTAAAGCTTAGCTTAGCAGGACATAGAATTCTGGGCTGAAAATAATTGTTTTGTTTAAGTAGATTAAAGGTAGATGACCATTGTCTTCTTGCTTGAAAAGTTTCATTAGAGAAGTCTGCAGTCATCCTGATGGATTTGCCCCTGTAGGTCAACTAGTGCTTACTCCTGGCAGCTTGAAGAATCTTTTCTTTTGTCTTGACTTTGGACAGGTTCATCACAATATGTTCTGGAGAAGCTCGGTTAGAGTTGAGGCGACCTCGGGTGCGATATTCTTCTGAAAGGAGTATGTCTGAATCTTTGGTGATATTTGGGAAATTTTCATTTATACTGTTCTCCAGTATGGCTTCCATTCCTCTGGGGCATTCTTCTTCCCCTTCTTGGATACCTGTAACTCATATGTTTGAACACTTCATAAAGTCCCATATTTCTGTCAGTGAATATTCTGCTTTTTCTCTTTTTTTTCTGCTTATTTAACTATCTGAGTTATCTCAAGAGCTTTGCACTCTACCTCTGAGGTTCTTTCTTCTGCATGGTCTAATCTGTTGTTAATACTTTCTATCACATCTTTAAGTTCCCTAATCGACTGCTTCAGTACCTTCGACTCTGTTGTATCTTTTCTATATTCTTCATATTTTTCATCTCTTATTTGATTCTGTTTTTGGATTTCCTTTTGGTTATTTCTCACTTTATCAGCAGTTTCCTTCATTGTTTCCAACATTTCCTTCATTGTTTTCATCATCTGTATTCTAAATTCCCTTTCTGTCATTTCTAACATTTCTTTACAGGTGGAATATTCACAGTCCCTTGGGGAGGTTGCTCTGGACTGGTTTTTTATGTTGCCAGAATTATTTTGCTGATTCTCCTCATGAGTGATTTCTTTTATCTGTGTCCTTGCCCTAATTTTTCTTTCACTTCCTCTTGCTCTTTAAGTTATTGTGCCTCTGGCTTAGGGTTTTGATGAGTCCTTTTGGTACAGAACCAGAAGAATGAGAAGATTAAAGAGCAAGAAGGGAAAAAAGATTAAAAAAAAAAAAAGACTGCTTGCTTTGGCAGCACATATACTAAAATTGGAACGATACAGAGAAGATTAGCATGGCCCCTGCACAAGGATGACACTCAAATTCATGAAGTATTAAAAAAAAAAAGAAAAGAAAAAAGAGAAAGAAGAGGGGATAAGTAAAAAGGAATAAGGACACAAAGAAGAGAGGCACAGAAAGAGGGAGACAGGAGCAATATAGGTGTACAGTAAGGTACTTTGACCCAACCTTAAAAATCCCCAACCTCTGAGGGTGTGGGGTTGGGTGGTTCCCTTGAGGTCAGCAGCTCTTTGCCAGCCTGTTCAGACATAGTACCCCACCTCCAGTAAGTAGAGAGGAAAGACAAAAATGCCATAAATCAAACAAAAATAAGCAAACAGAAAACTTTACAGGATAAAATTGAGAATAAAACCAAATAATAGGGGTAGAAACACTAGCAAAAATGAAGTTCTAATTTTTAAAGAAGGCAACTATGGGAAATTGTATTTACACTAGAAAAATGTAAGAAAGAAAAGAACAAAAAAAGAAAAGTCTAGAGAAAAAATGTTGAAATTAAACAAAAAGCCCAGAACAAACAAAAAGAAAAAACCAAAACCAAAAACAGAGCAGTATATATATCTTGGTAAATATTGTCTGGGTAACAAGTGATATTCTGGGGTATGAGATTTTAATCACAATACTGATATAGCTATACAAGATGTAGACTGGAGGCCTCTGCTGATTTCTCAAACTCCGCAGGGTGGAGAGCTTAAATCTCTCCTCACCCAACTTAAAAGGCACTTTAAACTGTCAACTTTGGCTAACCAGAAGCTTTCCCAGGAAAGCACTTGTTACTGGGATCACTCCTGAAGTGGCTGTCCACTTACCCAGTGTGCCAAAACTGGTCTCACTCTATTCCCCTGAGGGCTAAGGCTATAAAGCGTCTCAGTCCCCTCCTTTAGGCTGCTCAGTCACTAGATTACTTGCCCAATGCCTCCCACCCGATCCTTGCTTTGTGACCCTGAGGGCGGAGCTTGCTGTGGCAGTTCTCCCACAATGGCTCCACCCAGCCCACAGCCGAACACTATTAGCTTCATCCCGGCTCAGTCCAGGGCCCTAGACAACGCTTAAAGTTCTCTGCACTCTTGCCCAAGCTCTCCCAAGGTAGTTCAACTGAGTCCCAAAGTCCAAAAAAACAAAACAGCTCACAGGTAAGGCCTTTCCAGTTGGCAATCTCACTGCTGCTGTACTTATAGCTGCCAGTGGGATTAGACTGAACAAACACACACAACCACTTACCAGTTCTCCACTGCTGTTGTCCTCCTCATGGGGTCCAAAAGTCTCATACTGACTCCCCGTTCCCCAAAGGGCTGTTTCTGGACAGATCCCATCAGCCAGAGATTCCTGGAGTCTTCTCTCCCCAGTCTCACCATGCCCAGTTGCAAGGAAGCTGTTATTCGGCTGCCATCTTGCTCCTCCCCCAGGGCTATCTTTTTTTAACTGGCCAAACAAAAGATGTAATAATAAAAGTGAAACTCAGTCCTAAAACTTTGTTTTAGACAGTGTAGGCAAGGAGCAGGAGAAAGTACTAGAAGAATAGAAGAGAAAGCAAATAATAAAAATATAATAAACAGCCAGTCATGGTGGCTCAGGCCTGTTGTCCCAGTGCTGTGGCAGGCCAAGGCAGGTGGATTGCCTGAGCTCAGCTGAGTTCAAGACCAGCATAAGACCAGCATGAGCTGGACTGAGCCAGAGTGAGACCCTATCTCTACAAAAAAAAGAAAAAAAAGCTGGGCATTGTGGCGAGTGTCTGTAATCCCAGCTACTTGGGAGGCAAAGGGCAAGAGAATTGCTAAAGGAAGAAAGAAAAAAAAAATAAAAAAAAATACTTCGAACTAAGATGAGTGAAAGCCAGCTGAAATTGAAAGCAAAAATAAAAAAAAATATAATAAACATTCATCATCATCTTCTCTAGCCAGTTACAAGAGTGAAAGGACAGAATTGTCATTCTGGCTAAATTACTGTAGGAGTTAGGGCAATAACGTGCACAATCTTAAGTGAATTTAATGTAAATTGTAATATTTACAAAGGTATGATCTATATAACATACTGAAAGATATCCATTTATTTGCAAATATTTTTCTAATCAGTAGTTCTTTCCCACTGTAGTACAGAGTCAACATTTTGGGGGTGGGGAGAAGCATTTTAGTACCCTGGACAAATCCTTCTAAAGAAAATGGTTTCTCAGGTCATGAGGGTGGGAATGAAAGTCCTTGGGTACCCACAGTCTAAAAGTATTTGTGATTATTTTGAACTAGCCAATAGAACTCAGTCTGTCCCAAATAACTGCATGGACGTTTACTTAAATCATCACACAGTTTGGTGTGACAATTACTGAGATAATCCTTGCCTATTGCTGTTACTGTTCTGATTCTATTTTTTTTTTTTTTTTTTTTTTTTGAGGCAGAGTCTCACTGTGTCACCCTTGGTAGAATGCTGTGGTGTCACAGCTCACAGCAACCTCCAACTCCTGGGTTTAAGTGATTCTCTTGCCTCAGCCTCCCAAGTAGCTGGGACTACAGGCCTGTTTTAGCTGGCCCCGGGCTGGGTTTGAGCCCGCCAGCTCTGGTGTATGTGGCTGGCACCATAACCACTGTGCTATGGGTGCCAAGACCTGATTCTTATTTTAAAAGCTACTATTACAAATTAATGAAAATAATTAAAACTGCTAATCTACATATCTATAGTTGCTAAATGTAAAACATTTTTCTTTTTTTGATAAAGAAATGAACTAGATCATTTTAGTTGCAAGATATTTTAATCAATTGCTTTCAGCTTGCCTCAAAGTTTTTGAATAATATGAAATATGAATAAATCAAGAAAATGCATTTGGCTATTGAAATGGCTTAAATTAAGTCATATTTAATCTCTTTTCTTGTTACTAACTTTTCTGTGTAAATGAGTAAATTTACACAAAGTTCAAAAACAACATAATGCTAGAAAAGTTCTCCCCAAACAATCACTGTGTTATAACTTAAAATAATGAACAGGAATGCACGTTCTTCTAGGCCTAGATCCATAGAAGACAGAGCTGATAAATATAACTCTTTAAAATTGTAGAGTTTGGATATTTAGTGATTTCTCCTGTATGAGTTATATGTTTCTAATTGTTTATTAGACAAGATATTACAAACACAATACTGCAGATAAATTACAAGGATAGTTTGTGGGTTATTTAGGTGCTATCACGTTCATCAAGTGTGTCTAGATGTCATAAAACTTTAAGGGAAAATCATCATTTAAAGTCTTTAAAAGTACTGATTAGCCATCCTCCTTTTCCACTCACACAATAGTCTGCATTTTCTAGGATTAGACTATAAATTGAGGATCCGCATATTCTGTAAGCAATAAAATAAAATAAAATATAACTATTACAACTGTGTGTGAATGATGTATTTCTTCTTTCCCTCACAGGCATTTCTTAAGAATGTAAATCTAATTTGAAGAAATAAGTGCCTGGAATCATACTAACTGTAAAAGGATGAAAGTTTTAATTTTTTATATAGTATGACGAGTAAAAAAAAGAGACTTCACAGAAATAACTGGTCAACTGTGTCCTATCATAGAATTGAGTCTTTATGGGTTTATCTTTCTGTATACAGTAATCTATAAGTTTTTAAAAACAGAGTTTAAGTCACATATCACAAACTGAATATTAAAAATTATGCTATTCTTTATTTTTGCTAAATATATTATTTTCTTACATAGTTAACATTTTGCATTAAACATTTAATTATGTAAGTTATACTTGAGACTGCTAGTGAGAAATGACAATTTTTATATGATTTTTGGTAATATGCTTGTCAAATAGTCATGTATGAAGGTAAATATTATAATTCTTATTTATAATACTTAAATACTTTATTTAGAATTTATTGTCTTTATTTTTGTTAATTTGAAATGTGAATTTTATTAAAGCTGAAATGCAAAAAGAATGTGTTTTTTTCTTTGAATTAAAGATAATTCATAGCAGAGGTGATACTATTGACATATGATTACTGTGTATGTATATGTGTGTAAACACGTACTTTTGAATTGAAAAATTGTCCTGTGACAATTTCTATCTTTTGAAGCTAGAACATACTGTATTGCTGTCTTACATTGTAATTGTGGCACTTTGAGAGGCTGAGGTGGGTGGATCACCTGAGCTCAGGAGTTTGAGACCAGCCTGAGCCAGAATGAGACCTGGTCTCTAAAAATAGCTGGACATTGTTGGGGGGCGCCTGTGGTCCCAGCTACTTGGGAGGCTGAGATAAGAGGATCACTGGAGCTCAAGGGTTTAAGGTTGTGGGGACCTATGGGTGCTACAGCACTCTATCAAGGGTGACAAAGTAAAACTGTGTCTCAAAAAAAAAGTTTCATTGTTCTCAGACTGGAGATGCATATGTCAAGGAGTGAGAAGAATGTATGGTTTGCCTGGATGTTCTGTTTAGAATGTAACAAAATAATATGTTCAAGTAGTTTCATTTAAAAACAATAATGAAAAAATCAGAAACCTGCAACAAAACAATGGAAAATTCCCATCCTTTTAAAAAGGACACAAAGCATGAGTAGTTTAACAACATACACACAGTATCATCACTGACTTTTTACCACTTCCCAACTGTTTGTGGTGGTGTCCTAAAGACGCGAAGAGGTTTCCGTCAGTTCACTTCAGTTTTTCAACACCTTTAGTCTCTTCCATAACTGAGTGTGTTGTGTTTATTTGTGAATGTCAACACCCACATTCCTTTGTTCATCAGAAAAACAAACTCAGGAATGCCCTTTGGCTTCAGGAGTATTATGAAGATATATTCTTAATTTTTAGTTTTACTTGCTTTGGTTTGTGGGCAAAGATTTACAAATGATTATGTTTAAAAATATGGAGGGAAAGGAAAATTCTGCAGTAATGCTATGTATTAATAATAAAGAATGAAAAATCTATGTTTTTAGTTAGTTATGCCTGTCATAATGATTTATGTATTTACTACATCTGGAAAAATGAAGTAGCTTTTGATTATAACTATGTAGCAAGCTGAGAGTTACTTATCCAAAAGCTAAGAGGTTAATGCATATGACAAGTAAGAAC